AAACAGATTAGAAGTTGTTTGGGTTTGGAGGTAGGAACAGGGATGGTCTGTAAAAAGGTATTTGAGGAGGTAATGGAAACGCTCCAAAACCAGATTATGGTAATGGCTGTGCAACCACCTACATTATTAAATAAAAGTCATTGGGGCTGGGGATGTGAATCAAGCGGTAGCGTGCTCGCCTAGCATGTGTGCGGCCCGGGTTTAATCCTCAGCACCACATACAAACAAAGATGTTGTGTCTGCTGAAAACTAAAAAATAAATATTAAAAAATTCTCTCTCTCTCTCTCTCTCTCTCTTAAAAAAAAGAGGCATGAAAAACTTTTAAAAATAAATAAATAAATAAATAAATGTATGTCATTGAATTAGGGCTGGGGCTTTAGTTCAGTGGCAGAGCACTTGCCTAGCACTTGTGAGGCACTGGGTTTAATTCTTAGCACTATATCAAAATAAACACATAAAATAAAGACATGTTGTCCATCTACAACTACAAAAAAAAATTATGTAAGAATTTAAAAAGTCGGGCTGGGGATGTGGCTCAAGCGGTAGCACGCTCACCTGGCATGCGTGCGGCCCGGGTTCGATCCTCAGCACCACATACAAAGATGTTGTGTCTGCCGAAAACTAAAAAATAAATATTAAAAAATTCTCACTGTCTCTCTCACTCTTTCTTTAAAAAAATTTTTTTAAAAGTCATTGAATTATGTGTGTTTAAAACAGGTGAATTTGTAGGTATGCAAGTTATACCTAAGTAAAGCAGTTTTTTGGTACCAGGGATTGAACTCAGGGGCACTCAGCCACTGAGCCACATCCCCAGCCTTATTTTGTATTTTAGTTAGTTGTTGTTGTATTTTTTTTTAATGTGGTGCTGGGGAACGAACCCAGTGCCTCATGCATGTTAGGCAAGTGCTCTACCACTGAGCCACATCCCAGTCCTTGTGTTTTATTAAGAGACAGGGTCTCACTGAGTTGCTTAGTGGCTTGCTTTTGCTGAGACTGGCTTTGAACTGCCTCAGCCACCTGAGCTGCTGGGATTACAGGCGTGCGCCACCATGCCTGGCTGTAAAGCAGTTTTTTTAAAAAAATATTTATTTAGTTGTAGATGAGCACAAAGTATCTTTATTTATTTTTATGTGGTTCTGAGGATTGAACCCAGTGCCTCACACATGGGAGGCAAGCACTTTACCACTGAGCTACAGCCTCAGCCCCAAGCAGTTTTTTTTTAAAAAAAAAAAAACCTGGTACATAAGAACATGAGCATCATTTGAAAAAGAGGTGAGCACAAAAGGTGATGTCATGTTTCCAAAGAGCAAAGGCACACAGAATGGCTATGGGTAGCCCAGCCTGAAGCCCTGAGATCAGCTTCCCAGCCTTTCCATCTCTGCTAAGCAACTACTTCTAGAAATGGAAATGAATGCGCCCAACCTTCTGCCAAATAAAGGTGTATTCAATGTGGCATCAGGCACATAACTCCCTAAAGACAGATCTCAAAGCACCTTGGTTTTCATATATTCACAATCACACAAATATCTGGCTACATGTTCAGGCTGTGGCATGTAAGCTGTACCCCTGACTGACAGAACTTTAAAGTTCACTCTGGCTACATTATATCTATGTGTGTTTTACCAAAATCTTTCCAAAATGATCACCAATGATTTTATCAGATTGTCTCCAGAAACGTCTGGAGTCATAAAACCCAGGCTCCCCGATTCCAGTGTTATCCCAATCCACATGCAAGAGACAACTAAGCAAACTCTCCTTAAAAGTCACCCAATTTACTTTGACATTCTGTTTTAATGTTTAATCGCCATTAACTGCAAGCTGTTCATTCTGCTGATCCAAACCATTTTTCTGTTTGCCCTATTTCCACTCCATCTGGAGCGGAAAAAATAACTGTCTCCTTACTTTCAGAAAGAGGATAACATTTAAGGATAACCATTAATGGTATCTTCCAAGGTTTACATCCCTTCAGCATTTACTCTTTGGTACTATTTTCTAGGCTTCAAGTTATCTCAGGTCCCTTTCAAAATTCTTCTGAAGAGTGGTTACCAGCACTCAGGAAGGGTGTGAAGAAAGGAGGAATGGAGCTTCAGAAGAAGGGTAGAAAGTATAGGGATGCAGCAGGATAGAAAGAATAACTTCCAATGTTCTATAGCACAGTAGGTAACTATGGTTGACAACTATTAATTGAAAGTTTCAAAATAGGTAGTACAGAGGATTTTCAATGTTCCCAATACAAAGAAATGATGTTTGAGGTTATGAACATGCCAATTACCCTGATCTGTTCATACATATTGTATATATGTATTGAAATGTCACACTGTACCCATAAAAGCATACAATTACTATGTGCCAATTAAAAATATTTTTTTAAAATTTTTTAGTTGTAGATGGACATAATACTTTTATTTTATTTATTTATTTTATGTGGTGCTGATGATCAAATCCAGTGCACCTCACGTGTGTTAGGCAAATACTCTACACCACTGAGCTACAACCCCAGCCCCCCAATTTAAAATATTTAAAAAAAATAAAAATAAAATAAAATTCTTTTGAATGCTGTAATTTTTCACACCTTCCAAGCATGATAACTAATATTGGGCACTGAATTCTAATGTAATTTAGAGACGTTAGTTGTCAAATCCTGTAGAATAAATTAATTCCTAACAAACAATCAAAACACCTAGGAAGAATGGTGCCAAAGTGTGCTTAGAATTACTATGAATAGGGCTGGGGATGTGGCTCAAGTGGTAGCGCGCTTGCCTGGCATGCGTGCGGCCCGGGTTCGATCCTCAGCACCACATACAAACAAAGATGTTGTGTCCACCGAAAACTAAAAAAAAAATAAATAAATATTAAAATTTAAGAAAAAAAAAAAAGAATTACTATGAATATTAAAGGAATTCCTGGGTATTTCAGAAGGGAGTATGTGCGAGAAGGAGAATACATAGTGGAATTATAACTGAATTCACTACATAGTATTGTAACACTAGAATTATAACACTACTTAACATTTATTATAACACACTGTCTTTTAGAAGACAAAAATATTTCAAAGTGCAGGCCAGCCATGGTGGCGGATACCTATAATCCCAGTGACTCAGGAGGCTGATGCAGGAGGATTGTGAGTTCAAAGCCAGCATCAGCAATTTAGCAAGGCCCTAAGCAACTCAGCAAGACCCTCTCTAAACAAAATCCAAAAATGGCTGGGGATGTGGCTCAGTGTTTAAGCACTTCTGGGTTCAATACCCAGTATAAAAGAAAATCCAGATAGATAGAAGTGTATATACACCCAACAGTAAGAAATGAAAAAAGATAGCTTCTTGCCTTCATGTAGCTCATTTTGTTTTAAGGAATAGTGTTTCATAGGCATTTCTTGCATTAAATCCAAGTTACAACTTTTTGCTTGTGCAATAAATATGGAACCACAGATGTTGAATGCTGGAAGGCATCCACAAACAAAAGGACAGAGGTCAACATTTCTCATTTTACTGATATGACCAAGACAAGGGTAGAACAACTGCCCAATGTGACTTAAGAGACGGATGCGACTCCAACTACACCTCCTGGGCCTGAAGCCCAATCTCCTTTGATTGTTCCCCCATTTCTCCATGAAGAAGGTAAAATGAAAAATCAAGATCTGGAAAGAATAGGACAGAATCCCATAAATGGAAAAACATCAGTACGTCAATGGGACAAAACAAAATGACACATTGTCCCGTTTCTTTTCCAAGAGGAACTTGAAACCAGAACCTCTTGCCTTATTTTACAAATCAGCTTATAAATCCACATTCCAATGGTAATTGAACTACCTCACTTGCTTTGTTTCTAGAATTTCATCCTCTGGTGGGGAAGGAGGGTCCAAGTTTCCCCCTCAGGTGGGTATTTTTGTTAGGTGGAGTACTGGGGAGCCCCCTCTCCCCTGCTAGGGGCCTTTTGGGAGGGGTAAAGTCATGCAAAGCTCCTACTCCCCTGCAGAGGGCAACCTGGGGAGAGCTTCACCTCCTGTGTCCTTTTCTTGGGTCCCTCTAGGAACTCCAACTAGAATAGGAAAAGTACTGAGAGACCCTTCCCTTGTAGAAGTGCTAGTAGGAGGGATGTTGAGATCCAAAGGAAAGGGACCAAGGGCCTGTCCAGAGTCTAGGTCATGGATTCTCAAATTACACCACCACAGATCTAGAGGAATAGGAAGCTTGGGATACATACAAAGGTATAGGATAACTCTGGCACAATTTCTGAGGACATGATCTTATTCAAATTTTTTTTTAGGATGGTAGTTTCTAGTTTCATTATACTATCTAAACCCACATTGCAATAAGACTAGGTAATCACAAGAACTTATAAGCTGAATCAGGAAACTTCAGTTCATAATAAAGGAACAGGAAGGAGCAGAAGGAAATAGAATTTCATCCTACTTCTTTTCAGCTTGTGGCAGGGAAATTCAGGCTTGATCCCCTTGTTAAAACTGGGGTATAAGTTCATGTTCCTTCATCATCAGGGAGACTTTGGTGAGGAAGTATGGGAGGTATTGACTCCAGTAAAAAGACTCTTGGTGGTCCATGGGAGTGCAGGTCCAGCTCAGGATACACCTAGGTGGTTCCAAGCTCAAAGCCCTGTGAAGTAATAAAGAATATACACCTGTCTGACCTTGCCTCCTGTCCCACACTTTCAAAGGGCCAAGTGGGGCCTAAGCTAACTGGTGGATTGAGGGATAGAGGGTTTCCAACTGACCTCCTTAGAAACAACAAACACGTGATTAGAAATCACCTTGCTACCTGTGAGATTTTCAGGCAAATATTTTATAAATTTACACTTATGGGCTGGGGTTGTAGCTCAGTGGTAGAGCACTCACCTGGCATGTGTGAGGCAATGGGTTTGATCCTCAGCACCACATAAAAATGAACAAATAAAATAAAGGTATTGTGTCCATCTACAACTAAAAAATTATATTTTTAAAAAATTTACACTTATGAGGCTAAAAATTTGAAAATGTAATACTTACTGTGTTTTTTTGAGTTACCATATCCTGAAAAGAAAAACAAAAGATGAACATAGTTTTTCTAAACAGTTAATTTTCATAAGCATTAAGTCTCCCCACATCATATAGTGCCCACCTTAAAACAAGAATTAATCATTTGAACCCCCACCATCTGAAAGCTTCAAATAGAATGAATCTCTGATAATCAAAAAATTCACATTCTATGGAAAACTAATCATAATTGTTTAGCTTTGGAAGTACTGGAGGGCATTTCTGCTTATGATGGTTTTCCCATATCAGTGACAATACTTTTGTCCAAAAGATTTATTTAATTTTTTGTAGTTGTAGGTGAACAGCATGTCTTTATTTTATTTGTTTATTTTTGTGTGGTGCTAAGGATCCAACCCAGTGCCTCACATGTGCTAGGCAAATGCTCTGCCACTGAGCTAAAGCTCTAGCCCCCCCAAAAGATATTTTGAGACTCAAATTTGGGGCACTGAGTGCCCTGCATCCCACCTTCCCAGAGAAGAATGACAGTGACAGTAAGAAAGCACTTGGGAAACACTGTGCCATCCTGGGGTTTGAATAGATCAATGCAAAGGCTGCAGAAACACCATGGTCACCCTTCCTACAGAAAGAGTACTACTGGAAGTATTCCTGACACCCTATTAGAACTGTCTAGACAGGTTCAAACTCATGTCCATTTTCGCCAGTTAACAACAGGATGGTTATGCAGACCTTGAGTATATATCATTTATATGCTAGAAACCAACATTTCTGCAAGAGAAAACATAATTAAATATCTGCCCTGTAAAACATGCTTTATATAATCAGAGAATCTTTTTTTCATCGATGAGGGTCAAATCCAGGGCCTCACACATGCTAGGCAAGCACTGTGCCACTGAGCCACATCCCTAGCCCAAGATTTCTATTTTTGATAAGAAGTTCAGATTGCTTCCTCTGGTATTAGATATAAATGACTAACTACCCATTTCCATTGTAGGAAATATTTGTCTGATTCGTTAAAAATTAAAAATTTTCAATCGCTAGCCCTGTAAAATAATTTTAACATTACCTAGATCATAGAACTTTCCAGAGGGCTTTTCTAAAGCACAGGTGAGGAAAACTGTATTGAATTAGGAAAAAAATGTTAAAATTTCATGTTTCCTATCAAAGTATAGATTAATAATCTATATACTTTCATATTTTCTAAATTCTAAGTATTCTAAATACTTCTAAGCACAGTGAAAAATCAGTAAAAGCAGCAGTTAATATCTAAATCTCTAAAGTTATTTAAGTTGGCTTATAGACTTTAAATATGTTTCTAAACTGTAGAAACTATTCTACAATGTAAAGCACACTGATAAAAGTTTCTTTTTTTCACTGTCATACAAATGACTTCTTCAAATACACTATGTGCTATAACTACAGAGCACCTATCTACGTAAAATGCATGTGAGGTTTAACACATACAGATTATACATCAGAAGCAGGTGGTGTTTCTATCAGGAAATAATCTCAAACCAATATAGAACCCAGAAAATTTTGGTTAATATTAAATCACAAGAAACACATACACACACACACACACACACACACAGCCCAAGTATGGCATAAAATTGTCTTGTTACAGTACTGAGGGAGTTGGACACTTAAAAAGGATGTCTGTAAAGGCCAATCTCTAAACCCACTAGTTCTCATACCTGATTGCACATTTGGGAGGTTTAAAAAAGTCCCATGCCTGTGCAGCACACCCCAGAGATTGTGACGTGATTGTTTGGGGTGTGGCCTGACTCCTGGGATATTTACAAGCTCTCTGGGTAATTCTAAAGTGCAATCAAGGTTGAGAAACAGTGCTGTAAACAAACTATTAATTTTTAAATTATTTAACATAAAGCAGGATTTTCTAAGATATTCAACAATATTAGCAGACTTTTAGAATAACGCACATCAGACATTTATATTTTGCAAATATAAGCATTTAAAAATGTTCTATATGGGCTGGGACTGTAGCTCAGTGGTAAAGCACCCGCCTTGAATGTGTGAGGCACTGGGTTCGATCCTCAGCACCACGTAAATAATAAATAAAGATATTTTTAAAATGTTCTATATTATCAAAAAATGTTTGTTTCAATCTTGCCAAAATACATTTCAGAAATTCTCAATATTACTGAATTGTATAGGAATACACTTGTTTTCAGTTTTGCTATGTTTTCAGACTAGAGTATAATAACAAATTAAATGCCGATTATATCTATGGTAAAATTTTCTGCTTATTTTGGTAACTGTTAAATATATCCCCGTCATTATCCAAGTCAAGAACTAATTTTTATAACATGTAAGTTTGGATCAAATTGCCCACAAAGGGATTCAGAGTAGTGTGTTTGTGTCAATGGAAGTGAATACTTTTTGCTTTTTCTCTAATGAGCCTGGAAGTGTTCAGGTCGCCTGCAAAAGCTTAATGTAGCAACGATGCTCACAGAGCAACCAGAAATTTATATGTGTGAGGTAGAACCAGTGGTAGGAAAAAAGGTATTGCAAAAGCAATTTTTATTACTTTTCTCACATATAATTCCTGTGCTATGTTACATTTCGGCTTGACATAAAATTCTGCTTTCCCAAAATGATGCACTCAGAGGAAGGTGAACGATGTTCTTTACCTTCAGTGACAGTGCTGTGTCGGCATCGGTATCATGGTACAGGATCACATTATTGGCCATGTCAAAGCTTTCACGGACTCCAAGATGGTAGAAGAGGGAAGGCTGTCTGGAGAAGTCACTCATGTCTACAACAGCAACATCTGAAATGAACAAGAGAGGGATGGGAGTGAGAGGACAGATGATCTGTCTACTTAATCTACTTGTTACTGAAGAATTTTTTAAAAAACAACAAAAACCCTCTTCCTTTTTTAAAGTGATAGGAATATAGTCTCAAAATCAGCTAATGGATTTATCTTTAATGTCATTCTTATGAACTATATATCAAATATAGTTTGCATATTTATGAAGCATATAGTATAATGAAATAAAAACCCAGGTAAGCCCAAGTCATTACACATACACTTCCCTGATCACATCTCCTCCCTCTTGCCCAGAGGAGATCTCTATCCTCATTTCTGGATTTATCATTTCCCTACACATGTGTTTGTGTGTATACTATAGACCAAATATTTGTGTCCCCCTCTAAATTTGTGTGTGGTAATCTAATCCCCAATGTGATAATATTTGGAGATGGTACCTTTGGGAAGAACTATCATGAATAGGTTTAATGTTCTTATAAGAGGCCCCAGAGAGTTGACTTGTCCCTTCCACCATGTGAGAACACAGTGAGAAGATCCAGGTTATGAACCAGCAAGTGGGCTCTCATCAGACAGTGGATTTGATGGTACCTTAATCTTAGACTTCCCAGCCTCCAGAATTATGAGAAATAAAATTCTGTTTTTTATAGGCCATTCAGGCTATGGTATTCAGTTATAGCAGTCTGAACAGGCTAAGACAGTATGTAAAGACATGTATGGGCTTATTCTATTTATGAACTCCTAAATAATATGTTGTTCATCTTTGCATGTCTTTGAATTTTATATAAATAGTACCTTTTGTATTTTCTTTGACTTGCTTTTTTAATTTTTTACTTATAGTTGGACACAATACCTTTATTTTATTTATTTATTTTTATGTGGTGCTGAAGATCGAACCCAGGGCCTTGCACATGCGAGGTGAGTGCTCTCTGAGCCACAACCCCAACCCCTTGACTTGCTATTTTTTAAAGCAATCTTTTTAAAGGTTTAATGTGTTTCAGGATAGGTGTATTTTCTATGTGTGTGTGTGGTGCTGAGGATTGAACCCAGGGCCTCATGTGTGGTAGGTGAGTATTGTACCACTGAGCTACACTCCCAGCCCTGACTTGCTACTTTTTGATGTGATTCAACCAACTTGTTCCTCTAGCTTCAGTTCCTACAGTTTCACTTCTATATAGCTTTCCATTGTATCACAATTAGATCATAATTTTTTATCCATCCTATCTATGGAGATTTTATTCATTTTTCTTTTTCTATGACCAGATGTTACAATAAACATTTCTGTGCCATAGCTCCTCGTTCACATATCCATCATCAACTTGACAATATAAAATGCCCCCTAAAGTTGTGTCCTGTCATGAAAACTTATTCAAAAAGGAGCAACTTATTGTATCAATCACAAACATATTTAAATTTGCTTAGTAGTATTGGACACCATTTCAAAATTTGTAATTTTTTGAGAAGATGCAAGAGCTCCAAATTTCATGGGAGCTTCCCCACTATGTGCACTAGAGATACAGAAATATAATGTCCAAACTTCTGCTCACATTACTATGACTTACAGCAAGTCAACGAAAATTCTGATGAAATGGAATAGAGGTGAGTTGTGGGTGTCGAGTGTATGAGTGTGAGGAAACAAGAAGGTAGGTAGAGGGCTGGGGTTGTGGCTCAGTGGTGGAGCACTTGCCTAGCACATGCAAGGCCCAGGGTTTGATTCTCAGCACCACATAGAAATAAATAAATAAAATAAAGGTATTGTGTCCAACTACAACTGAAAAATAAATATTAAAAAAAAAGAAGGTAGGTAGAAGCCACATCAGCACCAGGCTCCACAGGTTCTGCAGAGACACTGGGAGACTTGAGGCCCAGTGTCACCAATTGACACTTTTATTCTTATATATGGATTGCCTACTATATACCAGGCATTATGCTGGGTACCAAGGATAGAAGTGTGAATGGGGCATAAATCTTTTCTTAAAAAAAAAAACAAGTACAGTACTATGCAGGGAACTAGAAGGAAGTACACACAGTTAGAGCTACTGTGAAGGGGGCTAAAGTGAGGGAAACTGGGAGAGAGGAACTCCCAGGAGGGTACCCAACCACTCAAGCACAGAGAGCAGTCAGAGAAAGCCTGGAGGAAGTGACGCTGTCTGTGGCCAGAGGATCTGTAAGAGTTAGGCAGGTAAACGAGGGCAGAATGGAGGAATGGAAAGGGAAGGAAAGAATGCTGTAGGAAGAGAAGCAAGTGCAAAAGGTCAGAGGCAAGTTAGGTTGTGAATGTTAATTTCCTGGCCAGAACACCCTAGGAGATGAATCTGGGCTAGCAAGTACCAACTGGCAAAGAGGCCTTCCAAGCATGTTAAGAGGGCCGGACTCTACCTTGAGGCAGTGGAAAACAATGGTAGGTTGGTTTTTTTTCTTTAAATGGAGAACTACAAATATATATAAAAGTTGACAGAAGAGTAGGAAACCCACATAAGAGTCCTTCACCCTCAACAATTATCATCTCATGATAAGCTTTGTTGTAACTCCAGTGCCATCCATACTACCCCCTTCCATATTATTTTGAAGCAAATACCAGTTACCATATCCTTTTATTCCCAAATATTTTAGGATGCGTTGCTAAAATATGAGAACTCAAGAGAAAAAAATAGTCATAGTATCCATGCCTCACCCAAAACTATTTTTTAAATAATCAGGAGAAGTTTTAGACAGAGACAATCACATTCAAATTCACCCTTTAGAGGTTGTTGCTAATGATAGGACAAATGCATATGCTGAGGAAACACTTGACAAGTCAGCTTGGCTAATTTATCTCAAATGGATAATTCTGCTCCCCACAGAGGTTTGCTCAGAGTCAAAAATAACACTGCAGCTGAGTAAATTAGACATTCTGCCTATATGATTGTTCCCTGGACTCCATTACCTACTCAAAATTAAAAATGAAGAGTTTCATACCAATGCTATTTTAAAAGTGGCAACATAAGATACCAATTCCAAGGCCACAATGATTGCTATCTTTAGTTAATAAAGGAGAGGAAACAAAGGAAAGTGGTAGGGAAGTGCAGAGTGCAGGGTCGCAGGACAGCAGCCTCCAACTCCCATAGATTTATAGGCAGTCTGGAGCTTGGTGGAGTAGCTTTTTGCCAAGTAAATTAAGTTTTTATCTGGCAACACAAAAAACCTTCCTTTTTATGCCTTCTCAACATTCTGTGCTGGGACGTGTAGTACCTCCAGGACCTGTACTTCTAGGAACTCACTACCTCCAGAAGTTCTTCTATGGCTCCACTCCAGAGGTAGTGACTTTCCAGTGCCAATTAAAATAGGTCAATGCTGCTACTTAAAATAAAAAGTCAGAACAATTCATGTTCCATAGGAAAACTTAGTCTCAAATTTAACACTGAAATTTTTTGCTTGACATTTGTCACACGGGCTACTAGCATGAATTGATTTTAAGCAATTTATTTATTTATTTTAGTTGTAGTTGGACACAATGTCTTTATTTATTTTTATGTGGTGTTAGGGATCGAACCCAGGGCCTCACCTATGCTAGGCGAGCGCTCTACTGCTGAGCCACAAACCAAGCCCTATTTTAAGCAATTTATATCCAGACAATATTCAACTGGCTTGCTTTTAGAATTTCTAAGACACTAATTTAACAGTGGTCTGAATTTTTTTTTAATCATATATAAAGCCTCCAGGTTTGTTTTCCTAAAGAGACTACCAATTCATTCAAAGCTTTAATGATCACAATGGTCACATGGTCTATCATTTACCAAATCCTTCCAAACACCTCAGGTGAATTTCAAAAGCACCTCACTGAGAGGCAGGCAGAGAAAATACTGGCTTCATTTTGCAGGTGGGCAAATTAAATGCAAACAGGTTAACAGACTTGCTCAAGTTCACTCAGCTAGGACAGGACTCAAATTCACTTTTCTGACCCCAAGTCCTATTCTCCCCAGTGCATGGATAAGACTTACTGCTATTCTGACTCACTCTAAAATCAAGCCACTGAGGAGGAAGACAATGGATATATCAGGCTAAATACTAGGCAAAAGATCACAGATTAAAAGAGATAAAATTCACATATTCATTCCCAAATATACCCTATGTTCCTAGCAGTCATTACTTTACAGTTAGTTCCCAGTGATACAGGCCAGCCTTGGCAAAGAAGCCTGCATAGTATAACTCAGCTTCCTTGATCATGAAGCAGGCATGAACACATCCCTATCTACCAAGGTTTAACACACTTTAAAAAGTGATATACCATGGGGGACTACAAAAGGCCAAGTCCAGTAAAAAGTACACTTTAGCTGGAAAGCATTTAAATTTTACATTGAAGCACCCCTCAGTTTATCAATTATAATCATGTCAAAACATGCTAATATAAAATAAGATCAAATATACATGGGCTTTTAATTCATTCAAATTTGGGGGGCTTGGGGTTAGCTCAACTCACTTGCCTAGCATGCATGAGTCTCTGGATTCAAACCCCAGCACCATGCAAAAAGAAAACCAAAAAAATCAACAAAATATATTTTGAACACCATCTTGAACATAATTTTTGTTAAATGTTTTATAAGACTATAATTTTTAGTGTGGTTTATAAGTATTGGATTTCTGCAGTAAAGCATTAGTCAACAAAATGATACAATAGTGAATAGTGAATGATTTACCAGAGAAGTTCTGTAATCATACTGGTTCATGCCAATCTTTAAATATACTCCAGCTTACCCATAAGACTATCTTCCTCCCAGCAGACTAAAATAAATAAAGAATATAAATAAGACTGGTTTTGTCTAAATGTAAATAGTTGGGGTTTAGAATAAGTTTCCTACCAAAGACACTTCTAAAAAATCTGATTGGACTTAATTGCAACACTGGGCATCTGAAAACTCCCTTTTAAAAAAGCTCAAATTTATTGGACAGAAGATACATTGACTAACTCCTACCATAATTTAGATCTGACTTTATCATGACTTGGGAGGAGGACCACAAGTTTG